TGCAATCAGACTCGCTTTCATTCACACTTCACATGCATGCAAACAGGTTGCGCAGCAAACTGGCGACAACCGCCCACTCAGAACTCAGAGATATGGTAGCCAAAAAYGCAGTTCAGATWCKAGTTCACTTCAAATGGCTATGGCGCCTCAGCGCCCACACAACTCTCTGTTCGACACTTCACTCAACTCCCCTGTTCACATGCACTCGTCTTAGGATCACCTTGGATATCCCACACGCAGTACACTGTGCACTCACACACACACATACACGCTCCACTCTCCTAGCAGTTATGGCGGCTATGGCCGCCGCTACCCTATCGCTATGGCTAAGCTCCTTCTCTCGCCCACTTCGTCTTCGGGCTCACTGCAGACCACCTCGCACAAGTCGCTGTGGCAGCCCTTCCGCATGGCTTACGCAGAAATGAATGAATGGCTGGGCGCCGCCTCTTGATTTATACTTCTGTATCTCATTGGTCTGGCCCTTTCCCATGCCCGTGGTGCACACAGTCCCATACGGTACTTGCTTGACTGGACTAGGACTGACTGGGACTGGGACTGCTGACTCAGCATGGGTGGACTCCACCACTTGCCCACTTGCCTCAGCCTAAACGTGAGCAACTTCGAAAGGCCACTACAAGGACCTTCTGGAAGGCTGTGGACTTGGCCTTTCGATACTGTGGTAGCTACGACCTTGACCTTTCGGAGGAACTACAGCTACGACTTCTAGACCTTGCTAAGACTCGTACCCGACAGGTCTACAGATCGAACCCCTACTACCTACGGACCCGACGACAGTCTACCAACTCTTACAAATACACAGGTCACGGGTTCAACCCTCGGGGTTGACACAGATACTGTACAAAGGTAAGGTAAGTCTAGGGACCGAGCCCTGGGATCTGCATCGGCTACTGCGAACAGGTGAATACCGTTTCATTTCAGCTTTGTTCATATATGTTTGTCCTGCTTTGAGTTTTTTTTTATGATCCTGGCCAATTTCGAAGTACACATTCATCAGAAAGTACAATGCCGTCCAATTGCAAAAAGAAATGAATGAACTTGAGAGGAGGGACAGGGAAAGAAGAAGAAGAAGAAGATGACGTACACCAGCATAGATCAATGATAATGCTCCTCTTCTTCGCCAACCACTCTCCTCCTCCTTATCTCCTCCCCTCTTATTCAAACAAGAAATAATAATAATAATAATGTTGAATGGCTGAACCAGAATCAATGTACGAAGCCCTTGTCTACTGCAGGTATCACGTGAGGTCCACCATAGCCATGGCCACCCTTCTTCCTCCTTCCTCCAAGGCCGAGGCTTTGGCGGACTACCAGGGCATCGCCCTGCTGTGCAAAGGACAACACAAAGCAGCTATGGCTGCTCTAGCTCAGGCCACCATGCCTGACTCTGCCTCGAACCTTCTTGGTGTCTCTCTACCCCAACTGGGGCCTTCCTGCTGCAGCGCCCACCAAGGTGATGAAGATGGCAACCACCATAGCCAGGTAAGTACCTCTGGCGTTCCCCCTTCCTGGTCCTGGTCTTCTTCTCCCCGTGTCCTTGCTCCTTCCCCAGCAGCGCTGCTCCAGCCAGCGTTCCAACCAGCGTGTCGCCAAACTTCCACACCGACAATGAGGAGGAGCACCTTGCTCCTCCTGGAGATATAGCGGCCTGCTTGCCTCTTGGCGAGTGACTTCCTAGGCCACGCGGCCTCCAAGCAACTGGTACCTCCTCCCTTTCGGAGGGAGACATCATTGCAGACTCTGATATTGCCCGTACAGGTCCTAGACTCGGACTGGTTGGACTGGTACCCACCTAGACCTACCCTACAACTACTGGGCCTCTAAAAATGCCAACTTTTGTCTTCTTCTGCTCGGCCTCGAGTACCCTGCACATCTACCTCTACTTGGTGTGGTACCGGCCTACCTGCTACTTGAGTGTTTTCCGCTGCTCTTAAGTGTCGCGCGAGTGTTTTTCCCACCGCAACCCTCAATGTCACGGCCCCAGGTAAGTACCTGCCCTTCGGGCCTTTGGATCAACCAAGTGCCCTTACGGGTCACACACACACTCAAGCCCACAAGCACTCAGACAGGCATGCAGACCAGCAAGCATGCACCCACACAGACTTAGAAAATTCAGCAACAAGTGGGAAACTCAGTAAGGCATACATTCCATGAGCAAAACTCAGAAATCAGCTGTGTGCCTGTTTGGCAGGTCATTACACTTTTGCAGATTGGAAAATTGGTGTTTCCCATTGATTGGTTCCTTGCGCAATATTCATGGGGGGTTTTGATAAGAAGTACTAGCTTGCTGGGTGTTGCTTAATGTCCTCCTCTCATCGTTTTCATTTCCTTTCTGAATCTATCTCGACGGTGTGTGTTTCCACCTGATGATTATAGACCTTCTCAGAAATCAACGTGGCGGGCGGCTGGTACTTCTCTGTAGTCAACAACTTTTTCAACGGTGTGTATATCCTTGAACTGGTGCTGAAGCTCTATATATTCAGGCTCACATTCTTCAAGAGCGGCTGGAACATCTTTGGTGAGTCGACAATCCTTCTTGTTTTTTGTTAGGGGGAAAAAAATTGCTCTCATCAGAGTCATCACCTTTCTCATTGTCATATCTCCTCTCACTTCATGAACGGAAAGAAGGATTTATAGATTATTATGAAATAAATAAACAACGGACAAGTATCGTAGCATTGGTCAAGTTCCGTTACCAATTTATTTATGTCCTTAAAGCATTTAAATTAAACTGCAGTGAGCCCAGTCTCCTTGAGAAGCAGTCAACCAAATAGCAATGTCTGGAACCAGCGCATATCAAATAGTACACTGTATGTCCAAGTCTCACGTGATTGAATCTTCAAGCCAGTGAATCATCAAAGAGAGGAGCAAGGAAGGAGAACAGACAATGAGGAGAGAGAGGAGAATTACAATAACAATCAATAATACAACTATGCTCCTCTCCCTCTCCTCCTTCGGGCATCTCCCTCAGCGTCACCTCAGCAGTATTCTCTCAATCTGACATGTGGCTGATGAAGTCTCTGTGCACCATCAATCAGGGCGCACAACCTCCCCTTCCTCCAGGCTATGGAGGTTGGCAAGTCCCTTCCTCTGTCAACGTGAAGAACAGCCGCAGTGTCACCATACCAACAACAGGCAGGACAAGGTAAGAGTCCCTTCCGCGATCTCCTCTTCCAGTCTCACAGCCTGATCTCTTCACCACCTTGCTGTATACCAGAAACATCTACAATGGCAGCTATGGCCGCCCACTCTCTCTCTCTCCTCACCACACTCTGGCTGGTGCCCTTCCTCACAGCCTGGCACCCGCAGCCTCTCGCCGTGCGCAGAGCAGCTTGGCCGCATGCTTATGCAAGGCACAATGATCTCCACGGTGGCTCGGTCAACTCTATATACTGTTGCCTCGCATTGACCAGCCTCCAGCCTCCTGGGGTCGACGACCCAGATTATCTGAAGTCCATGGCCTGGATGCAGCGCTATCCCATGCTTTCCCTGTGTCCCACTTGGACCGCAATCTTCTGGATACCTGCAGACAGCCTTTGAGATGCATCTGATCGACGGCTGTGGTGGACTCCTACGAGTTGACTTTGACTTCGGGCCTGTATTCCCGTGTAGAGC